ATTTCGCGGTCGTGTATCGGGTAATTTCGCTCAGCTGGATGTAGCTTGCGTGATTCGTAGGCGATGGGTTGGAGGCCGTTGCCGAAGTCCTGTAACAGTACGGCTCCGATGGCGATGTCACTCGCGTCTGTAACAACTTCAAAGGGGCGGTGTGGGTCAGCGATGCGTAGGACGGGTGGTGAACAGAGAACATTTTTCAGGGCAGAGAAGGCAGCATGCTCTTTCTCCCCCCACGTAAAAGGGACCCCCTTACGCAGTAAATCAGTGAGCGGGGCTGTTAAGCGTGCCATGTCGGGGACGAACCGACGAACGTAATTAACAAACCCTAAAAAACTCTGTAGTTCCGTGATGTTCGTCGGGGGATGCCACACTTTTACGGTATCCAGCTTCTTAGGGTCTATCTCAACCCCAGCCTCCGAAATGACGTGACCTAAATACTCTAGCCTGTCCCGAAAAAACTCGCACTTGGAGCCCTTGGTGAGTAACCGATGTGCCTCTAAAATTTTAAAAACTGCTTCGAGATCTACTAAGTGCTGCTGCTGGTCCCGATTGTAAACGAGGATGTCGTCGAGGTAAACTATGACGCATTTATCTAAAAGTGGCCTAAACGCCTCGTTCATGGTCATCTGAAATGTTGCAGGCGCGTTGGTCAGCCCGAAAGGCATCACCGTGTACTCGAATGACCCGTACATAGTCCTAAATGCTGTCTTGGCGCAGTCCGATGGTTCGACCCGAATTTGATGGTAACCTCCCCGTAAGTCTATTTTCGAAAATACTCGTGCGGTTCGCAGCTGGTCGATCAGTTCGTCGGCGCGGGGGATGGGGTATCGTGATTTTACTGTTACCCTGTTAAGCGTTCGGTAGTCGATGCACATGCGAAACCCCCCGTCTTTTTTCGGTGTGAACAGTATCGGTGCGGCGAACGGTGACGAGCTCGGTCGGATAAATTGCTTCTCTAACAGGTAATCTAACTGCTTCCTTAGCTCGTCGAGCTCGGGTTGTGTCAGTCAAAATTGGCGCTGTACAGTTGGCTGTGCCCCCGGTTCTAACTCGATCCTACGGTCATGCGCCCGCTGAGGTGGCAGCCCTTGCGGTAAGTCATCCGGAAAGATACCCGGGAACCGTTTCAGTAGTGCCTGTAGTTCGGGTGGTACGGCTGCCAACAGTTTCTGCAAATCACTCGGCCGGTCCTCTTTTTCCACTAATGCGATATCCACTGCGTACACGTCAGCTCCAGCAGCGACAGCCCGTTTCATCGTGATGGCGTTGACCTGGACCGTCGAAGACTCGGGTGGCTGCCAGCGAGGTAGGACGACCCAGTTACCACTACTTCGCACTGTGCAGCTACCCGTCGTCCAGTCAATTCGTGGGTTATACCGTCGCAGCCAATCACGTCCCAATAAAATGTCGTGCCCATCCAGTGTCGTTGCGAGCATTTCCTGTGTAAACCCGAAGTTCCCTCCGCAGCGGACCTTTACTCTCTCCACCTTTTCCTGTATAGCCAGTGGCGTGCCGTCGACTAAGCGTGCATCTATCTCAGGTAAGCATCGGTTAAGTGTTAACTGTAATTTCCGTGCGGTTGCGGTATTAACTAAGCTGTGACTTGCTCCTCCGTCAATAAAATTCTTCACTGCTGTTCCCTGTATTTTCCCGTAGATTAGTACCGGGCAATCCGTCGCTGTACCCTCCTTATTCATCCGAGCCCGATCGATGGCATGAATCGGTACTGTGACTCGGTGAGGGTCGGTGTGGTTGGGCGAGCAGGCAGTCTCGTCAGTAGTTGGCCCAACTTCTACTGACTGCTGGCGTTTCCCTGCCTCTGAGACTCCCTCCCCTGCTCTGCTCCTCGGCGCCTTAGCTCCTCTGGGCATTCGCTCTTGCGATGGCCCGGCCTGTTGCAAGCAAAGCAGCGCCCCTTAAACGGTGCGGCAGCTGCATTCGTTGCGACGGCGTGTACAGTGGCGTGCTCGGTCGGTCCCCGAGGACGATGTCCGTAATAGGACCCCGGTCTCGGTCGGCGTAGAATGTCGATCTTCTCGGCGAGCGCGAGAATCTCGTTGAAGTTAGAGAGTCCGCGCAGCATTATCTCGTGCGAGATGTCCGGCTTCAGCCCTCCGACGTAACGGTCCACCCGCTCCGCTTCGTGCATGTAGCCGACCTGCTCGCAAAGTGCGAGAAAACCGCTGGTATAGTCTTGAACTGACCCGAGCTGGCGCCAAGTGCGCAGTTTCTGACGCGCCGAAATTGAAGCCGCGATCGGCTCAAAACGCGCCCAAAGTCCTGCGCACCACGCATCCCACGTGCTGTATTGGGCGGTCTCGCAGAACGAACTCCAGGTGACAGCTGGACCCGAGGGCCCTTCCTCGTGCGACGGTGGCTCGTAGGCGCGTGGCGACGTCACGATGACTCGCCACCAGTCCATGGCGGGGCCTCTTAGCAGTGAAACCGCATACCGGATCTTTGCGGCGTCCGACTCGACGTAATTGGCGTCGAAGAAAACGTTCATCGTGAAGACCCACGATTGAACTGTCCGACCGCCGCGTTGACTTGGGTCGAAGCAGGGCGGGCGTTGCGGCTTGAGCGGCATTGGTGCCATGTTGGGTTGTTCGCCACTTGTCGCCGCAAATTCCACGTGCCGACGGACTTCTCGAGGCTCCCGTGGGCTTGGTGTGATCCTGTTTCCTCCCATGCCAGGCATCGGCTGGGCGGCGCCCTCACTGGCTGCGCCTGAGCGTTGTCCCGTGCTGTCGTGTTGTGTTGGTGTGCCGGACGAGATGATGATCGGCTCATCCGAACGTGCAGACGCGTCTGTTGGTGCGTGGGATGTCGTCGGTACGTTCATCGTGGATTGTTGACGGGCGGAGTCACGTTCCGCCGTGAGGGTCGCGATTTCAAGCGCCGAATCCTCCAGTTGACGCACGAGACGATCAAGTTGCTCCTGCGTCAATGTGGCGAGCGTGAAATCGGCCATGGCGGGGGTGTCGGGCAAGCTCAGCGAGAGCCTCGGTCGTGGCCGTGCGTGCTTGCGAGAGAGCACTACGAGCGGCGGTGCTGTATCGCTGAGAGACGTCTACCCCCCCCCAAAAATTGAGATAGTGGGGAAGTGAAGGTGCGGATGCGGTCCGAGATGGGATCGTAGGCTCTGAATACCAAGTGTTACGAGTGCAATTGAGTGAACGGGCGAGAATTGCACTATCGAAGCAAGAGTACAATGAGCGAAGGTATGAGCGAAGAATATATAGCGAAACTACAGTGGTAACGGTAATGGTCGCGCAACGAGCCTGGGACTGAGGTTGGGAACGTGTCGAAGCGTAGGCCCGGAGCGCGGGTTACCAGCCGAGCCGTGAGGTCGGGATGCGATGTGCGAAAATGGCGGGATGATGAATGATGCGATGGTCGCGAGTGGTAACGGTGCTGACTGAGGTGCTACAGTGACGTACGCGTTGAGCAGAGGTGCGAAGTAAGGAAAAGGGAATTTCCTTACAATATTCAAATCTAGCAGGAAGAAATGTACGTGTACGGAGAATAGAACTGTACTACAATAGAATGGTGTTCTCCATAAGCACGGCTCAGCGTATCGGGTTCAATTGTACTGGACAGCCAGGTTATCCTCCTGACTTCTTATCAGGCCCCCCACCCACCTGCGGCCCGCCGAGCGGCGAACCGTCCTCGAGCACCATTTGGCGACAAGAAAGTTCTGGAGCTTCGCTGCGCTTTGCTCTCATCGCTATCGTGTAACAGACCTGGTGACGTTCGCGAATCTGCTTCGGAGCCAGAACCTGACACCTCTCGCACAGCACAACCACTTGCAGCCGCAGCAAAACCTCAAGGCAACCTGCAGTTTCGCGAATCCGTCATTCCACAGGAAACAGAAAACCGTGCCCAGATGAATAAGCATTACAGCACGGTTCAAAACGTTATGGCACGTAAACACTCGGAAACCTTTCGGTTCCGCCACATTACGAGGATGCCTTCTGTGTAGCCTCTTGCTGCTCAGACCAGCCAGATATGCAGTGCTCCTGCAGCAGCATCTGTTATTACCAAGCAGAATAGTCGCGAGCCCTGTGATAGAGTGAGTAAAACCCGGCTCAGAGACCAAGTATTTTCAGATATTTTTTTCCCGTATGCGCGGAACGACTCGGCGCTCGAGAGGCATCATGTGTTAGTACAGCGGCATCCGCATCTCGTTAGTGTCACGTTCAAGTTTCGTGCAGATAGCGTATAGTTAGTCGCTCTCGGTTGTCATCCCATGGTTCTTCTAACCGCGTCAAAAATCGTCGTCCCTTACTAGAACTAGCCGGTCCACACTGCATATCCTCACAACCCTCGACGCTTGGGAGAAATGACACACAGATATTCACACCGACGGTGAAAATACCAGCTTATTTGGAAACAGGTCCCCACTTTTTACGGCCATGGCGGTACCAGCAACACGTAGATATCCCCATCGGAGCCCCACAGCGCTCCTGTTTCCTCTCGCGGTGCTGACGCTTCTTGCCGTTTCGGAATCCGCAAGAATAGTCCCGTACGACGAATCCGTGTCGACTGCGACCAGCACCTTCAGTAATCCAATTCTTCTCAACGACTCGTCTTCTTCCTCCTCTTCCTCCGCTCTTTCTCTTTCCTCCTTGTCTTCTTCCTCCGCGTTCGTCTCTCCTTCCTCCGCTTCTTCCTCGGCCGAGTCGCACGATGACGTGGCAGAGTTGAACGTTGATGACGTGTCGGCTCCGCGGCGCATGATGCTCGCGCCCGGATGGATGCTTTGGCGAATGGCGAACTCCAACAGATGTCACCCGTCGTCGCTCAATGGCTACACTTCAAGTCGCAAGCTCGGTAACGGGTATGTGTGCGGGCGATGGGGGATAACGGGTATGTGTGCGGGCGACGGGGGGAAACGGGTATGTGTGCGGGCGACGGGGGGAAACGGGTATGTGTGCGGGCGACGGGGGGAAACGGGTATGTGTGCGGGCCATGGGGGATAACGGGAGGTTCTGGTGGAGATGGGGGGTATTTTCCTGGGGAATGGTGCAACCAACGGGTGTGTGCGCGAAATACCCCCGCGCGCAAGGGCAGCTTGCGGAGTAACCCGCTCTCAACCGTCTCCTCGTCGACTCCTTCCCGTTCTCCTGCTCTGTGGGGGGATGGATGGCAGCAGCGTGGTGGCGCGCGAGGCAGAGAGTGAGAGCTGTGTGGGCTGCGAATTACTAACTCTTTATCTCCGCTTGCCATACCCTCCCGCCCACGCCCTTCCCCCCGTCGCTCCGTTCCCCCATCAGCCTCGTGCTCCACTGGAAGGCAACGACGGGGAAGAGGCTGCGGGTGGTGGTGATGGCGCGCGCGGGGACAGAAGCGGCGGCGGCGGGGTGGTTTGCCGTGGGGTGGTCCCCCAAGGGCGGCATGGACGGCAGAACGTGGTTGCGCGTGAGGCGGAGAAAGAGAGGTGTATGGGCTGGGATGTGCAACTCCTTATCTCCGTCTGTCATCCCCTTTCCCCAACGCCCTTTCCCCCACCACCTTTCCCCCGTCCACCCGTGTCCCACCACCCCGGTCTCCCCACCCCTTCATCAGTCTTGTTCTCCATTGGAAAGCCACGACGGGCAAGAGGTTGCGGGTGGCGGTGGTGGCGCGCGCGGGGACAGAGGCGGCGGCGGCTGGGTGGTTCGCCGTGGGGTGGTCCCCCAAGGGGGGCATGGATGGCAGCAACGTGGTTGCGCGCGAGGCGGACAGCGCTCCCATCGCGTACGACCTGAGCGGGAACGAGGATGCGACGGAGTCGCGCACGTGGGTGGTGCAAGATGCGTCGGTGGAACACACTGATAGAGGGATTATCATGCGGTGAGTGGGGGTTGTGCGGAAGTGAGTGCGGTTCTGAGGCTTAGAGTGCGGTTGTTTTGAGACGTCTCGGGAGGCGGACAGCGCGCCCATCGCGTACGACCTGAGCGGAAACGAGGACGCGACGGAGTCGCGGACGTGGGTGGTGCAGGACGCTTCCGTAGAGCACACCGATTGAAGGATTATTATGAGGTGAGTGCTGTTGGGTGCGGTTTTGAGACGAGTCAGGACAGCGGGCCTATCACGTTTGACCTGAGCGGGAACGCGGATTCGACTTGGGGGAGGGGAGGAAGGCGCTTCGGTAGAGCACAGCGGAAACGGAAATATTAAGTAAGCGGGGAAGGTTGGGTGGGATAGAGTGAGTGCGGTTGGGATAGAGCGAGTGGGGTTGGGATAAAGTTATTGGTTTGAGACGTCTCAGGACATCGGCCCCCATCGCGTACGACGTGAGCGAAAGCGCGGACGCAGGGAGGCGAGAACGTGGGGAGTTGAGGAGAGGATGCGTGGGTTGAGCACACTAGGAAGGGAATTATCATGCGGTGAGTGCGGTGGGGATGGGCTGAGAAGGGTGGTTGTGTTGTGGGGTTGTGTTGTGGGACTCGTTGTCATGAGGCGAGTTTGGTTGTGGGGAAGTGAGTGTGATTGTGAGATTTGTTTTTCATGTCTGTATATATGCATGTGTACAGTAATTACACGATATGTATAAATATGATAAACACATATTTAATGAGTATCATTATGTCACTCCCCCTTGCCACAACATGCAGGTTCATGCGCATCAAGGGCGACGGGCTGTCAGTGGGCATCAGGACGTGACTGCATCGTTCCTAGACTGGTTTTCATGTGCATCCCTCCCCATCTCTCTCCAGCTCTCTTCCCCCTTCTCCCCCACGCCACGCAACGCATGCAGGTTCACGCGCACCAAGGGCGACGGCTCGTCGGTGGGCATCAGGACGTGGGAGGGCCTCAACTACATCGTGTTCGCCTATGGCCTGGGCACGACCATTGGGGATCACCAGTACAGGTGTGCATGTGCCACGTATGCTCGTTCCGTTGGTGTGCGTGCGTGCATGTGCTGTGTGTGTGTGCTGTGTGTGTGTGTGCATGTGCTGTGTGTGTGTGCTTCCTGGTACCACAGACGTGGGAGGGCTTTAGCTACATCTTGTTCGCCTATGGGATGGGCACCACCATTGGGGACCACCAGTTCAGGTGTGCACGTGCTCTGTAGTCGCTCTCTTGTTGTCACAGGCATGTGCTTGTGTGTCTATGTGCTGTGTGCTTTATGGTGTATGGGCTGGTGTGAACTCCTCTCACCGTTGAGGTGTAGGAATGGGAGAGGACGAGGGCTTTAACTACATTATGTTTGCATTAACATGTGCAACACCATTGGGGACCACTCCTTGCCACTCCTTGCCACTCCCTGCCACTCGTTGCCACTCGTTGCCACTCCCTGCCACTTGTCGCCACTCCCTGCTACTCCTTGCCACTCCCTGCCACTCCTTGCCACTCCTTGTCTACAAACACCACCAGTAGTACTACTTGTTGATAATTGACAACACCCCATTCCTTGTCTCTTTTCTCCCCTCCTTTCCCCCTTCCCTTCTTCGCCACTCAACCCCCTCTACACCTCGACCCACACTTTACAGTTCCCCCCCTTCTCCTAACACCACACCCCCCTCCCTCCCCCACCCTTTCCAACCAGCACCCATCCCCATTTTTCCTTCCTCCCCTCCTCTCTTTAAATCCCCGTCCCCACCCTATTACACGCCCCCTTCCTCCTCAACTCCCCCTTTACACTGCCCCTCGTCTCATTCCCCCTCCATACCACCCCCCTCTACAGGAGCACAATGCTGATCCACTTAACATGTGTGGCTGTGGCTGTGCCTTGCTGTCTCACCCCCTTTCTTCACCACCCCCTCTTCTCAGGAACACAATGCTCACTGACTTAACATGTGTGGCTGTGGCCTGTTGGTCTCACCCTCCCCTCGCCCTCAACGCCCTCCCCTTCCACCACCCCCTCTACAGGAACACAATGCTCATTGACTTTACGTGTGGCTGTGGCTTGCTGCGCTTCCGCTGCTGACATTCTTTGGGGCCGGCCGTGATTGTTGACGCTGACTTGCAAGCTCTCTAACGGCTTCAGCAGTGGCAGCATCCTCTTCGGGTTGTAGGAAAATTCGTCTGTATTGAGCCAAGCTATGCCCGTTTGGTGTATGGAGATGGGTATACAGACACTTCGTTTAGAAGGGGTTACAGTGTGACATTATTGGGACCCCGGTCCTCTGCACTGCACTGCACTGCACTGCACTGCACTGAACTGCACTGCACGGCACTGCAGTGGACTACTTGCCATCACTCCCCCCTAATAAGATGTGTACAGTCATTTAGAAAAGTTCAGCGTCAGAGCAGTCAGAGAGTAGAGGAGGTGTTGCACAACGGCACACCTTGATAGTAACGATGCTGTAAAACTAATACTATAAATAACTTGCTCTCTTTAGTTTTTGTAACTGTTGGCTGGTTGGGTGTAGATGTTGGGCTGAGAAATAGCCCTTAGGATCTTTGCAGAGGAGAACTCTTGGGTAGAAACTTGTACTAGCGGAAGCGTTTAATGAGGATTGTGAACCGACCTTGCACTGGTGTGTGAGAGCAAAGTAGATTAAATTAAACAAGCAAATACAAGGATTTATGTAAGAGTACAGGGAATACGAATAGATAGATAGATAACTGTATTGCTGTTGCGGTTCGATACAGTGCGACTCGGGCAACTGCTCTGTAACGAGTCAGTTGTGTGTCCTTAACTGTCGCGCTGTGATTGTCGAGTCAAAGGTCAGCGACCTTTGACTTTCTCGTAACCTCCAGGCGGTTACCCTAACCTCCGAGGTTGACTCGATGCTTCGACTGGGACTGCTTCGCTTGGTGCCTTGGATTTTTGATACGACAGAAGCGCACTTAGGACTTATTGTTTCCAACACTCCCCTTCGCTTCTGGAGTGTCGCTGCTGGTGACGTGGCCTTGTCCAGTCAGCATCATGCAGTATTCGAACTTTTGCTTTCCGAGTTTCTTGGTCAAGTAATCGGCTGCCATCTCGGATGTTGGACAGTATGACAGATCGAGTTTCCCTTTTTCTATCTCGTCCTTCACGAAGAAATAGCGCAGGGCGATGTGTTTCGTCCTGTTTGCGAAGCCGTTTTTGTTGGCGATGCGAATTGCCGACTGGTTGTCGCAGAACACGGTGAAGTTGGGTAACTCGGCTAGCTTCGCTTCTTCCAGTAGTTCGCGAAGGTAAAGTCCCTCCTTGGTGGCTGAGCAGAGCGCAATATATTCTGCTTCTGCTGAAGATAGTGATATTAACTCCTGCTTGCTCGACTGCCAGGAGATAGGACCGATAGGCTCAAGGCGGTAGACATAGCCGGTGCGTGAGCGCCTGTTGTCGGTGTCGCCGGCGTGATCGGCGTCGACGTAGCCGATTAGCTTGGTCGGTGTAGTCACGTTTTTGTGATAAGTTAGTCCGATCGTCGCGGTGCTGACGAAGTAGTGGAGAGCACGATCGAGTTCCGCCAGATGCTCTGCTTCAGGTCTCTTGAGATAGGTAGCGATCTGACTCGCGGAGTAGGATAGGTCGGGACGGCATGTGACTGCTGCGAAAAGAAGGCATCCGAGCTTCTTCTGATAGTCGCGTATGCCGGCGGGTTTAAGTAGAGTAGATTGCCCCTTTTCGATTCCTGACGCGTAGCGATAAGGCGTGGAGATGGCGCTTGGTGTGAGACTAAAGCGTTTCGCGATAGTGTCGGCGTACTTCTCGGCGCTTAGGTAGATTGCGTTTTCTTCCTCACGGATGTTGAGCCCGAGGTATTGCGTAACCGTAGAGGAGACCGTGAGCGTGAGGTCTTTCTGGAGCTCCCCTTCGAACCACGTGGCGATGTCGTCGGTTGACCCAATGTAGAGGAGATCGTCCACGTAGACGATCAGTAGGACGTAATCGCCTCCTTTTGTGAGGCGATACATGCCCTGGTCATGCGGGAGTTGTTTGAAGCCGATGCGGATGAGGCGGGCGTGTAGGTACTGCTGCCACAGTCGCGGTGCCTGCTTGATCCCATAGAGTGATTTGAGTAGTTGACACACTCGGTTGGGTTCGCCGTGGGAGCCGTGTGGGAGTTCGACGAAGATTTCTGCATCCACAGGTGCGTAGAGAAATGCGTTCGCAACGTCGATTTGTCGCAATTTCTTTTTCTTCATGGCGGCGACGGCGATGAGGATTCGGAGTGAGGTGTGGCGTCTGACCGGAGCGAAGGTTTCGGTGTAATCTCTTCCGTGCTCCTGGTCGAAGCCACGTACGACCCAGCGGGCTTTGAATTTGTCGATGGTGCCATCAGCTTTCGTCTTCACACGGAAGACCCATTTCCCGGTAAGAATGTTTTTATTTTGAGTTACGCCGATGGGAACAATTTTCCAGGTGTTGCGCTCCTCCAGTGCCTTCAGCTCTTTGTCCATAGCTTCACGCCATTTCTCCCTGTGTTCCCCCCCCAGAGCCTGCTGAACCGTCGCAGGCTCCTTAGGAATGCCGGCGCCATGGACTGCGGTGACGAGACCAAGGATTTGCAGCCCAGTCTGTGAGTATCGAGGGAGTTCTGGATCCTCGGGATAAGCTGCTTCGTCTCCCGTTTCTGGGTCTGGCATGAAATTTGGCCCTACCCTTTCTGCTTCGTTGGTGTTGACTGTCACAGGTGTTACGTAACCATCGTCGGCGAAACGGTAGAAGATTTCGGCGTTGTTACTGTCGCGAGGATTATCCTCATCCATGGGCACGTCGACGGAGCAGTATGGGAGAGGTCCGGCTTCTTCCGAGGCGTTGTCGACGTTCTGTTCATCCCAGTCTGCTTCGTCCGCTGCTGACGCGAAGGCTCGGTCACCACGAAAACCACTGGTGAGGTCCCGATTCTCGTGCAAGTTGGCGAGGTACGTCTGAAGGGTGAGTCTTTCGTAGAAGATCACGTCACGTGCTGCTACTGTTTCCTTTGTGTGGACGTCGAAGATTCTCCATGCGTTGTAATTTTTCTCGATGCCGAGGTGTAGTCCCCACTGTGCCCGTTGCGAAAATCTTCCCGCTCGTGCTTCTGGGGGTCTGTACTGTACCATGCACCCGAAAACTCGTAACATTTTCGTGCTGCCCTGCTTCCCTGTCCACAGCAGATGCGGTGATGCGTTGTTCGGGAGTGACGACGACGACAACAAGTTGTGCAGCATGACAGCGTGGTCCATTGCTGCTGGCCACTGGTGGTTGGGTAGCCGCATGCCACGTAACAGTTTGCGCATGCTGTTCTGCAGGGTCCTGTTCAGTCGTTCTGCAACACCTTGCTGCTGATGTGCGTAGGGAAGGGAGAGGAGTTGCTTGATCCCCCTTTCTGCCAAGAACTGCTTGAAGCGCTGAGAGGTGTACTCGCCACCTCCGTCTGACTGGAAATTTTTCAGTTGTGTTCTAGACTCTCTCTCTGCTATCGGTAGCCAGGCGGCGAATGCTGCGAGCGCCATGTCGCGGCTGGGTAGGTTGCGATGCCAGACGTATCGAGTGGCGGCGTCGATGAAGGTGATGGTGTAGTTGTAGTTGACTTGTCCTGGTTCGCGATTGTAGAGGATGTCGCTGTAAACTTTTTCGAGTGGTGCGTACGCTGGAGCGCTCGGGTTGTGATGTGAAGCAAACGGTCGATGAGGTAAGTCAGCTTCGGGACATATAAGGCAAGTCCCTCGTGCCTTCTGGAGTTCTCTGCCATCGGGTAGAAGTAGAGAGTCTTTGTCGAGGACTCCTGCTCTTATCGTGTTATTCAAAACCGTGTTGCTTGGATGTCCTGTGCGTGCGTGCCAGATCTCTTCAGAGGCGCGGTGTCCGGGTGAGCGCTGATATGCGTCCGAGTTGGAGTAAAAGCTGGCGACGAGGTTGGCGCTTCGGTGCACTTCACATTGAGTCGGATTCAGTTGTTGCGCGGGTGTTGGTGGTACTTCGTCGACTGTGACTGGTGTCGTTGTTCCTGGTGCTGCTGATGTTGTTGCTGCTGCCGATGTTGTTGCTGCTGCCGATGTTGTCGCTGCTGCCGATGTTGTTGCTGCTGCCGATGTTGTCGCTGCTGCTTCTTGTTGAATCGTTGCTAACGCTCTTGTTCGTTCTGCTTCAGGGATAGTGTGGGAGTACCAGAAACCTCCCGGGCTGAAGTCGGGGTCGAGATCCGGAGGGTGTGTCCAATCAGCAAAGTTCACAATGGCGTCGCTGTCTGCAGTGCCGAGGTCGGGAGCGAAGTCGAGGACGAAGACATTGTTCTTCAGCACTGCTTTCCCGATGTAGAGACCGCCTCTCCCGTGGTAAAGCTTGAACTCCTGGGTCGTGCTGTCGGCTTCCAGATGAATTCCTTTCGCCATCAACTGGCTAACGCTCAGTAAGTTGTAGCCGAGTCCTTCAGCGATGAGTACCTTAGACATGTGCAGTATGACATTTGTTTCTCTTGACTGAAGCTGTACCACTCCTTGTCTTCGTGTGCGCAGGTTTTGGTTGTTGGCAACCGTGATGATCACTTCCCGTTGGAGTCGATGTTCGCGTTGTACGAAACGCCCGGACGAGCACATGTGTTGCCCGCAGCAACTGTCCAAGAACCAGGTGTCTTGGCCAGACGGTTCACTTTGAGCGATAGCGGCGTAAGTCGGATTTGGATGGAGTGATTCGCGACGAGGCGTCCTGTTGTCGAGCTCCTCTTCCGGTGAGTAATGGGGTGGTGACTCTGTTATGCAAGAGTCGTTTATCTTGACCATGCAGTTGACTATATGTCTTGCTCCTTGCGCAGGTTGTCCAGTTGAGGTTGTCGAAGCTTGAATCGTGGTTGTCGAGCTTGCTTGTGTCGAAGCAACTTGGGTGCTTGAAGGCCGCAGTTGTCGCTGTGGTGTTGTCTCTCGAGACGGGCAGTGCGTACGTGGGTGTCCTGATGTCTTGCAGATGTGACAAAATGGAGGTACTAGCTTCGGCTGCTGCTGTCGATTGTTGTAGTAGTTGTGTCGTCGCTGAGTATGGAAAGCAAACTCCGGTGCTAATGTCCTTTTCTT